GCTGGTTGGCGAACAATAGCGAACCGTGCTTGGAGAACCCCGAATGCACGTTTCACGTCCTTCCTGCATGATTCTTGTTGTTTGGCAAAAAATTGTTGTTTGTTGCCCTGGGGCATTTGTATTGACTGGACGAAGACAGGCCATTTAGGATAGATTCCATCAGCTAGATAGTATGCAGGATTGTATTGTCGCCCATTCACGGTGAAGTTTACCTGTGGTGCTTCACCCGACTCAATGTCGTCAAAAACCGGTGACCTATCTAGTACATTTATGTCGTTCAATGTACCAGGCAACCCAAAAAAAGCATGTCATATCCACAAATCATATGACGCAACCGCCTCGAGAATGACTGTTGCCGTGCCTTTGTGCCCACTAGTAAACTGCCCTTGCCAAGCCTTAGGATAATTCTTCCACTGCCAGTGCATGCAATCGATACTTCCAATCATTCCGGGGAAACCACGCTCCTGATCAACCTGGAGCAACCTCTGCAAGTCTTCAACATTTGGGCGTCTTAAGTATTCATCTTGAAACAAGGCTATTACCCCTTCACAAAACTTGCGAGTACACTCAATTGCAGTGGATTCTCCTATCTTCACGTACTCATCACAAGCATCTGCTGGGACTCCATATGCGAGCATGCGTATGGCAGCCGTACACTTCTAGATAGGTGTTAAACGAAGCTTGTCGGCATTATTCCGTCTTTGAGTGAAATAGTCGTCGTAATTGGATAGAGAGTCCACAATTCGTAAAAAGAGAGGCCTTTTCATTCGATACCTGCGTCGGAACTGGGCATCAGTGTAAGTGCATGATTCGGCAAAGTAGTCGGCCATGAGCCTCTTATGTGCTGCATGATGATCTCTATATATGGATTTTCTCTTATGTGTTTTTTCATTTCTCCTTTGCAATTCTTCAAGCAGTTCTTGCTGCCTATCAAGTATTTTTTCTTGTAACTCCCATTGTCGTTGGAACTCTTCAAGACTGAACTCATTTAGGGTTGGATCCATTGGATGATATGCTGAACAAATGGTTATAGGTATACTTATGATGTGCATTTGGTCAGTTTTTATAACGAATGGTATGTGTTCAAATAATTGACTTAACATGCAATTGCTGGGACATGTAGTCATTTCATATTTTGTATTGTTGTGCAGAGTGTAGTCATTTCATCTTTTGTATTATTGTGCAGAGTGTAATCATTTCATCTTTTGTATTGTTGTGCAGGGTGTAGTCATTTCAATCGGATTTATTCAAACATAAACAACAATTTTATTGAAACATTAAAATTACATTACAAACAGACAACGACTCTGAGGTTAAACACACATAACACAAAACACTTCAAAAATCAAACACACAAGCATAACACATGATCTTATTTGCCAAACAGATCCTTCCTCAACATATTCAATAATTCTTCTTCTTCATCGTCTCGATCTGGTTTGTTTTTCAATAATATACACATCTCCATCTGCTTGGCACGAGCGAGGCGATTCATAGCTGAAATAGTATTTGCTTGCTTCTCTTCAAAGTTATCACGAGCGTAGCTAGATTGGATAACTCCTCCTCAATTGCGACCTTCGATTTCCTTGAAGTGGATGATTTACTAGAGGAAGCTCTAGCTTTCTTCTTTGCAGCGTCCCTTCCCTCTGGACGTACAACGGTAGGAACAGATTCGACGTCGTCGCCACTACTCTTTCTTTTGGATCCACTACTTCCCGATTCATTTAACCCTCAGATATATTTTGGTTGATTTCGAACGATTTTCTATTCATCCACCAGAAAGTGTCACCCTTTTGGTTGTTCCCCAATTCACTGTCGTTACTAAAGTGAAAGTAACCAGTGAGTAGAACTTTGTTGTCTTTGGTGCTCCAACTATCATAACTTGATCTCTTGGATGATTGCTGGGTTGGAGGTAGAAAACTATGGGGAGTATCCCCATCAATATTTCCTAGAGAGATCTGGGTGGAAAATTCCGGGATATCGGTCGATCCACTGCTAAAACGGGGTGTAACCGGCTCCGTAGTCGGACCGGCGTTCGGAAAGTTCATATTGGAGGGAGCATAGCTGTTTCCAGGATATTGTTGATACCCATATGGCATATAAGGATTATTATACGGGTATTGCATGCCCATATTTGGAGGCATCATATACGGCATCTGAAAATTTGCCGACATCCCCGTATTCTGAGTATTTTCTGGGCGTTGCATATTAGGATTTTGAGGATTAGGAAAATTGTAACCTGGGGGCAAATTGTAATTTTGTGAAGGATCCATGAAGGTTGCAAAAAAGGCTTGACAATGGAAGAAGAAAGTAGAGAGATGCAAAAAGGAAGAAATAAAGGGTGTAAAATCTTAAAATTTTTTTGGTGTCCAAATGACACAAATTTAAGCTCTATTTATAGACCTTGAAAAATTAGAAATAATGGTATAAAAAAAAATTTAATTCGAATTATTTATGCTCCAAATCTACAATTTAAATATTAGGTGAAAACAAAAAAGAGTTGGTCCAATGGGGAGAGGGCACGTTTTCATGTGCATGGCTGGTCAAAAATCATGGGGTTGGTGGGGGCTGATGGGGCTGCGTGCTCCTCTCCCATTGGACCACTCTTCATTAATTTTTTTTTTCTTTTTCTTATATAGGAGGCGGGCCCCACATAAAGTGTATTTCATGCAATTTCACGGAAGGGAAATATTTCACCCCTTGGAAAGCTTTTGAAATTTCCCTTCCTATTTCCCTAGCTGCTGTATGGAAAAACCACCATTTTCCCCTCCTATTGCACTTGGTCTAAGTGCAGTGTTTTTTGGAAGAATTGATCTTTTCATTAAGGATGCCCATATCTATAGCCATATCTTTTAGTTCCATTTCCAAGTTTAGAGTTTGCACTCCTTTGAACATTAATTAATAGATGAATCCTAACCTTCAAGATTCTAGCAAGCAAATAAGTGGAAGAGACTTTAGAGGCAGTGAAGCAAATATACACACACACAAATCGCCTAGTTGAGAAACAATTAAAAAAGCTAAAATCTTACCGAAAGTAGAGAGGATGATGGTAAGAAATGGACAACAATTAATTATAAAGGTGTTGATGGGATAAAATGTATAATAATTCCATAGTTTTACAGAGAAATAGTCAGGAGTGAAACACGAGGGTTTAAACAAGGGCCTAATGTCTTGGAGATAAGAGTCAAGGCAGCCCCCATAAGTTCTCCGCCCCTCCTAATCTCTCTCATTCGTGTAGAAGGTGGCTTATTCCTATTTATTTGCTCCTAACCACAAACAACTCTACAAAGGGGTTTTTAGTATTAGTCCCTCGTATCATTAGTAATTTCATATCAGCCCATCAAATCTTAAAAATTATGTATTAGTCCCTTACATATTCAATAATTTCATATCGGTGCTGTAAATCTTGAAAATTGCATATTACGCTTTTATGCTTTGGTAATGAAAAGTGAGAAATCAGATGTGGTTTAACTCTAAATTTAGCAAATGTTGTATGCGGTGTATTTATAGTTAATATTAGGGAGAAATTAGAGCTGACCATTTCGCACCCCCCACACAAAAAAATGTTGCATTTAAGTTTAACTTGTTATAAAAATGAAACACTATTGTGGGCCTGTAATCTTATGGGTTAATTTGGTATGCAAAGTGCAAACAGGTTTAATTAATTTTCTATCCAAATCCATTTCTTAACCTCTTCAATCGTAATATCGCAGAGAATCCCTATATGGCTCTCCCCTAACCTTCGAGTCTTGTCCTCAGGCTCTTGAACAATTCCATTGGGTCTCATCTCCTGCTCCTAAGTCCTAAGTTTTAGTCCCACGATTCCCAAGGTAAGCTCTAGATTCCTCAGGAACTTAAAATCCTAGTTGCTTTGTTGTTGATTTGTTACTCAATTGACCTTCTGACGGTGCAAGTATGGGAGTGGGACATTAATTTCTTATCTAATTACCAATTTTTGTTAGGGACTTAAGTTTTAGTCAGTTGTTGCAAGTTGAACATTCAAAACATTTTTTTGCTGATTTAAATTTACCTTTCGGACAAATTTTTAAAAGGCCCTTTAGAAACTTATTCTCAAAAAATATCCTCTTCGAAAATATTTGAAAGTGGCGAAAAAACATCAAAAACTTTGCGGGATTTATGCCATTTATTTGTTTAGTTTGATTTGAAAATATCCTCTTTGAAAATATTTGAAAATATTTGTAATCTTATGGAATTTGCGGGATTTTTGAGAATAAGTTTCTATGGTCTATTTTGAAAACTTGTCCTTATCTTTCTTATCAGTTTATCTCTTACTTGATTAGTGCAAGTATTGTGATTTATGCCATTGATTTGTTTTCTCCCTTGAAAATTTAAAATTTAATTTTGCTTGTCTTACATTCTAACTTCTAAGCGTTTAGTCTAATTTGTGAGAGGTTAAATAATTGAAATCATATTCTATAAATTGTAACTTATAGCTTTTAGACCAAATTGATCCCTGTTAGGACTTCATTTTTAAATTGTTCCACGTATTTTCTTTTTTCTCAACTTAGTCCTATATCCGATGTTAGAGATAAACTTAGTCCTATTTTAACTTTTCATTAGAAAACTCGTTAAATAAAATTCAAAAAGACAAGTACACTGACCTAACTTTTCTCAAAAGACAATTATAATTTCTGTTTAGTTTGCTTTGGTTCCATAACAAACCGACAAACAAAATACCTTGTTTCTTCAAAAATTCGAGACGATAGTGATGATCTCCATGTGGGGACAAATGGCTGAGGATAAATAAATTTATGCTATCTTTTAAGTCTAAGATTGGAAATGTGAGTTCAAGATCAAGTGCTCAACTGAGAGCAACGCCGCAATGATAGGAGAGTGTCAAGTGCATCTGATATCCAACAAGTTCAATAAGTTCACTTAAATTGTGTATTTATGTAAATGTAGTTGCACATCAGATTACTGTTCCATTCTTTTTTTTTTCTTTTCTTTTCCCTTTTTGACCAATCTTCTCGAGTGCCACAATGTGTCATTATAAGGTAAGCTTGTGATCATAGAGTGGTTGGTAAATATGTTGTTTTTAATACAAAGTTATTATAATAGGTAATAGGGTATAAAGTACTTGTTTTCCTTCAACTCATTTGACATGTAGTACTCGGAATAATACTAGAAACTGTTGAGTTTTGACATGTTTGAGAAATAAATGTGAATGCATTTGAGTAATAAAGGAGAATGTTTCATATTTTTGACTAAGCAGAGTATTTTTGTATATTAGTTTATTAAGGAACCGAAGCAAAATTAATAGGAATTGTAATTGATCTTTTGAGGAAAGATGTTTAGGGTAGAAATGTCCTTTGAATTTTTTACTTAACAGATTTCCTAATAGAAAGTTAAAATAAGGCTAAGTTTAGATCTTTATCATCACTATTTTTTGGTTCCTATGGGATTCTGCATGAGAGCCTTATATCTTTATCGTCACTATTTTTTGAAAGTAATATAAAAACCAAGAAGACAACACATCTCATAATCACCTGCATGAGCCACAACTTGGAGGGGCAAATTACCAATTTGCCCCTGTTTTGCACATGCATGGACAGAACCACTCGCTTGCATGTAGGCGGTTTTGATATGTAGTACTCAACCAAGAAAGGCACCCAATGGAATGTTTGTAACATTTTTTTAAGTTCTCAACCTCATTGGAGTCCATGATATTTTAAATTAAGCAATAAAGCAATATACTGTGTAAACCTGAATTGTTTCACATGTTTAGAATATAATTACAAGGCTGCATAGGACTCACTATTTTTTGAAGTTATGTTGTAATTCCTATCAAGGTTGTTGATAGCGGATTGCGTCACGGTGAGGTACCGCTAAGGCTATTTCGGGCTATTGCGGCGAAATAGCGGGAAATAGCGCACAGTCAAATAGCGGTCAAATATAAATATATTTAAATATTCTAAATAATAAGAAAAATCATATAAAAAATCTAAAAATTCTACAAATGCATACTTGATGTCTAAACATGAAATAGATGTGTAATAATTACAAAATATTAACAAAGTACTATAATTATAAAGACTAAAGAATAAAAAACGTACTCATCTATCAAAAAGACCGTTATTTATCCCATTTCTTCAACTTTCAAACCTCTAATATAAAAATGCTCAACAATAAAAAGTATTGATTAGTAACATCATCATTATATTAAAAAACTAGAAATTTGACATAAAAAATAAAATATTCAAGTATAGATAAATAACAATATAAGTACTAGAACTTTACAATATTAAATTTTATCAACATATTATATCATTTATCAATTATCAATAAATAATAACTAAAGACCTCAGGGTAACGGTGAAGAGTCACAATTGATTCCCATACCAAGAAGTTAAATGATTTTTTATTTTCCCCCAAATTAGGGAAACATCTAATTTGGGCCAAATGATGAATTTATGGGATTGAAGAATATGGTGATTTTGTGGGACGTAGTAGCTTATCTTGTGACTTTTTTTGGGAAAAAAACTCCAATGGTGAATATTTTATGCAAATATCGGCAAATGACCCAAACAGAGACGAGCTTTCTCTCATTATCCACGAAACCCCTCTCTTCAAAAATCAAATTTTAATGGATTGTTGTTGGTCTTCCCTGAGTTTAAACACGGCTTTCAAGCTCATACATACTAAGAGGCGCTGGCTGCTCTCTCCTTTTGTAGGTAATTACAACTTAGAAATTTACAACTAATAAGCATTTAATTTCAAATTATTACCTTGTTTGTTCTTTCTGTTGTAGACAAAGCCCAACAGAGAGGAGGGTGATCGGAGGCATCACGACGTTGACCAGAGAGAGGAAGGTGAGACTGTGAGAGAGAGAGAGATGGCTGGCGTCGACCGGAGGCGTGTTGATCGGAAGCGCCGTTGACCGGAGGCGGCACCGAAAGGATCGCCGGAGGAGGTGAAAGAGAAAGGCCCAAGAGTGACGGGAGGAAGAGCAGGCGGTTAGGGCTTGTTTGGATTGAGGGGAATGAGGGTGAAGGGAAGTTAGGGAACCATTCACCTCCATTCATCTTGTTTGGGATCACTTAGGAGATGAAGTTAATTCACCCTAGTTCTTCTTGGTTCACCCCCTAATAGTATAAAAATTGTTACCCCAAATTGGGGTGTAACTAAGGGGAAGGGAATTCTCTTCCCTTCCATTCCCTTCCTTTCACTCAGTTTCCCTAACTTCCCTTCACCCCTACAAATCCAAACAGGCTCTTAGGGCAAAAGAGTCGGGATTGGGGAAAACTAAAGAGATGGCTTTTTAAACAACGGGTTCGTGTCGGGTTCGCGGTGAAGTATCCGCGGGATTAAGAAACACTATAGCGGTTTTTAGCGCTTTTAAGCGCTTTTTGCCGCTAAAATCCGCTTTTTTCGCGCATTTCGAGCGCATGGTGGTCTTCTCCGTTAATCCTCCCCGCGATTCCCTTAAGCGGGGCGGTGAAGCACCGCGACCGCGATTAGCGGCGCTATTTGCCGCTTTTTACAACATTGATTCCTATGAAATTGCATGATTGACATATGTTTCAAAGTATTTGCATGCACCAAGGTCGATGGATGTATTTAATTCTTCAAAGATTTTTTGGTGTACTATCTGTAGGATTGAAATTCTTAGGTTGTTTTTTGTAAAATTGAAATTTGAGGGTGTTTTCTGCAATTTACAAAAATTTTAGGGTATTTTTCGCAAATTCCATTTTTCTATTATATATATGTATACACCTAGAACTTCATTATTGTGTTTTTACGCTTTGAAATTTTTGGAGTTTTTTGTAAATTTAAAACAAATTTGGGTATTTTCAGCAATTTTCAAAACTTCTAGGGTGTTTTGTGCTAATTTTGAGCTTTGTTGAGGGCTTTTTGTATGTTTCAATACTTTTGAAATCCTTGGTATTTTTTTTTTTAAGTTTTGAATTTTTTTAGACTTTTTCAATTGATGTGCAGCCAACAACAATCCAAAAACATGATGATGATAAGAAGCTTGTGCAAGCTCGGTAGACTTAAGGAAGCTCTTCAATCTCTCTACTCCAACCCTACTTCATCTTCATCGTCATCGAACTCTGCTACCGCCGCCGCTGCCTACTCATCTGTCCTCCAACTCTGCATTGATTCCAATGCAAAACAAGAAGGTCTTTCTCTCCAAACTCATCTTACAGCGATTGGCTACTCCCCAGATTTGCACTTGAGCACCAAATTTATTATCTTTCACTCTAAAGTCACCGCCGACTTGGCTTCTGCTCGCAAGATGTTCGATTCAATGCCTCAAAGGAGCATCGTCTCATGGACTGCCATGATTTCAGGCTATGCTCAGAATGGTTACTCAGAAGATGCCTTGCACTTGTTCTCTTTGATGCGTTGCTGCTCTGGTTTCTCTCCTAATCAATTCACTTTTGGTGCCGCTCTTAGTGCTTGTGCTAGAGTGGGTGCCTTCAGAATTGGGCAGAAAATCCAGGGATGCATTGAGAAGAGTAGATTTTTTCGAGATATCTTTGTTCAGAGTGCTCTCCTAGATTTGCATTTGAAGTGTGGGTCGCTTGAGGATGCTCGCTGTCTTTTTCAGAGAATGGAAATGAGGGATGCCATCTCTTGGAATTTGGTGATTGGAGGACATGCAGTTAGAGGGTTAGGGGATGATGCATTAGGATTGTTCTGCTCCATGCTAAGAGATGGTAATTCTCACTATGTCTTCTTAACGTTTTTCCTTTCTTTGATTTGTGATGCTGCTTGCTTGGATAGGCAATCTGATAACCTGGTTTTATATTTGTTTCAATTTGGTATTGGAACTTAGACTGGGATGCAATGCTTAGAAAGAATTAATTTAAATCACACAAGATGAAATACAGTTTTCTTTGTTTTAGTTAAAAGCAGATGATCGTCTTTGCTATTACATATGAACTTCTCTCCAGAAAGGCACAACAATATATACCCCAATCAGAATGCATGCATTTTTGAGAGTCAAACTTGAAAAGATGTGGAAACTGTGCAACATAACCGCTTCTATGTGAAGTTGTTGCATGTAAGATAGAGAAGCTTGATGGATATAATCATGTCATCACTTTTATGTCTGCTTATCTTCAATTCAACATAGTGTATAATGAACATGCTTAAAGTTTTTTTTAAAAATATTTTACTCATGATATGTAATTATAGTCTTTGACCTCTGTCTTATTTCACACTGATGCCTGCTCATTTTGCGTCTACCAGTTACATGATGTTTATAGAACACTACAAGTTGCATTCATCAACTTTTGTATCTGTTCTTAATCTTTGTAATCCATTCCTTTACACCATTAGTGGTTAGTGTAACCCATTGTTCTTAATAATTTGCTACTTATTCATAAAATTGTACGTTTATCAATGTTTTATGTTAATATTTTATTATTCTCGCTTAAACAGGCTTTCTTCCAGATCATTTCACTTTCGCAAGTGCTTTGAAGGCATATAGTTGTACTAAAACTCTAAGCAATGTGAATCAGACCCATACTTTTGTTATAAAATCGGGATATGAGAACCATAATGTTGTTACTGGATCACTGATAGATGCCTATGCAAAATGTGGAAGGATAGACAAAGCAAAGATAGTGTATGATTCAATGCTCAAACATGATCTAATCTCTTGTACTGCATTAATCAATAGTTACTCATCAGAGAGATTCTCTTATAGGGAGGCATTGAACCTTTTCCGTGAGATAAATAGAACATGTATGGTATTGGATGATGTCATCCTTTGTTCCATGATCAATTTATGTGCAAATGTCACTTCATTAAGCTTAGGAAGACAAATTCATGCATGTGCTCTCAAGAAACAACCTCTCCTTGATGTAGCATTTGGAAATTCTCTCATTGACATGTATGCTAAGACAGGAGAGCTTGAGGATGCTCATCAAGCTTTTGATGAGATGAAAGATAAGAATGTGATATCATGGACTTCATTGATCACCAGTTACGGTAAACATGGTTATGGTGAAGGTGCAATTACCCTCTTTCTTAAAATGGAGGAGAGTGGAGTAAGGCCAAATGATGTTACTTTTCTTTCACTTCTCTTTGCATGCAGTCATTCTGGATTGATTACCAAAGGGATAAATTTTCTTAGTCTAATGGTGAGCAAGTATCATATCCGTCCTAGAGTTGAACACTACTCATGTGTCACTGATCTACTTGCACGTGGAGGTTTATTGGAAGAAGCTTATGATTTTGCATGTAATATGGATGCTATGCCCAACTTATCACTTTGGGGCTCTTTGCTTGGGTCTTGTAGTATATATGGAAATACATCCCTCGGAAGAATTGCTGCATCAAATCTTTTTCAGTTAGACCCTGAAAGATCTGTAAGCTATGTTGTTCTTGCTAATATTTATGCAGCAGCAGGATTGTGGGAGGATGCAAAGAAGATCAGAAAATTTATTGAGGAAAGATCTGTGAAGAAAATTGTGGGTTGCAGCTTCATATGGTTATAGTAGAAGACTTTCTATTTGTTAAAAGAAAATTGTGGATTTGAGTTCTTTGAAGGAATCAATGTGGATGATGAAAGAATTGCTCCTAGACATTAAGTTGTTGCACCGGGTAGAAAATTAAGAACTTATCGATCTCTATATATGCCATTTTTTACTGTATTCTCAAATGCGTGCTTTATTTGACGATAGGGGAGGGCATGTTGATGAAGCTGGATCCTCGATGGCTATGCAGGTATTGTCGCTCAATTCTTATGTTGTCTTATTCATTTTCATTAATTCTTAGGTTATATTATGAGATTTATTATGCTTGCAATATACGTGTTGGTTATTATTGTGAGATAGACACCCAAATAAGTGGGTGGATAAGGGACACTCACTTTCAAATGCACCAGAACCAAAAAGGTGCTTTGTTCCATTCAAGTGGGACCAGAAAACGGTATATATGCAACTGCATATTTATCTTGCTATTTTTCATTTGTCGAGAAGTCATTGTGAATCTAGAATCCTGGATAGAAGTCATGGGATGTTTAAGGATTAGACTTTTGGCTCTTAAATTGGTTCCACACTTTTTTAGTCAAAGGTATAATTTCATATGCTGATTTTCATTTGATACCAGTTACTACATTAGTTCATTTTACCATTTGAGACCGTGTCTGCAAGAAACTCAATCCAACAGTTAGGGCTCCTGATTGATCACAAAAGGCATTCCTTAGAAGCCATATCTGTCAATTTTAGTTGTCTATACTTGCCATACACGTCTCAAATTCTAGGCAGGTATCCTTTAGTAGTCTATATTTGCCATTGTTTATTGTTTCAGTTGCCATACACATCTCCAAAATTTATCAAATTCTAGTGAGGTATTTACTACCTTTATACTGGTCAAGGCTCTGTGACATACACTCACCAAATACATCACTATATTTTATATACATTCCCATGGTTGTTATAGATACAAAAGTTTTTATTCACATGTACTTTTTGACAGCTGAGTAATTACTTTTCCTTCTGATTCACTGGTAATCTGAAAGTACCAGGAAGTGGAATTCCTGTGCTGTCCATTGTGCATTTCTATTTATTAAAATGTCATATTTTAGCTTTTCGATTAGTTAGTTTATGTGACTGTCAGTTACTATTTTGAGCCAGGGAACAACGCTGATAATTTGTTGAAAAATTGATTTAGATTATTTATTATCTCTTCTGATTTTGAGAAACTCTATTAAACTTCTACTTCTGCTTGAATGTTCTTGTTGCAGGTTGCTAGGTTGGTTAGAGCCATTCGCATGGGTTGGATTAAGTTCGATAAACCAAAGGAGGAGCCTCAATTTTATTTATTATGAGGAGATGATTCTAATGCAGCAGAAAACAAGAGGCAGGGATTAAGTTATATTCCTGCACCTAAACCTAAATTGCCTGGTAAACCATTTGTGTTGCTTACAGAATGAATGAAAAATTCACGTTGTTTGGAAATAGGTTAGTGTTCTGCTCTTTTGATGTTCAAAGTTGATGTTGGAAGCACCTTGTTGAGTTAGATTTCACTTTCAGGCCATGAAGAATCATACAATCCATCTGTAGAATATAGCCCTACCCAAGAAGAAATTAACTCTTACCAGCTGATGTATGAGGAAGACCGTCCTAAGTTTATCCCGAGAAGGTATTTATTGCATCTGTTGTCTTGTATTCATCAGTTTCTTTGTTAATTCTATGACAGTTCATCTTGATATTAATTATTCATAATTTTAAATTCGAGTCCCTTAGAAGTGTACCTGCCTATGAGAAAGCTGTTAAGGAAGAATTTGATCGTTGTTTATACCTTTATCTATGCCTAGGGCTCAGAAGAAACGTGCAAGTTGAAGATGCTGTATGTATCTAAAAGGCCTTGCAATTTATTTTTTGAATCACTCATACTTGTTTACTATATTCTTATGCTTGACTTTGATCATATTTGGATTTTTCTCAACAGCATCGTATATGCTATATAACTTTCATTGTTTTATTTAAAGTTCATTTATTTGTAGTATGACTAGTATTTTAGGAATTTTATGCACTAATTTTGGCCCCATTTTCATAGATCAACATTGACCCTGAGTCTCTTAAGCCCAAGCTACCTAGTAAGACGGATTTGAAGCCTTATCCCTCAACATGCTATGTTGAGTATAGAGGTCACAGTGGACCTGTTAAATCTATATCAGTTGAAATATCGGGGCAATGGATGGCATCTGGTTGGTACTGAGTTTTTTTTTTCTTTTCTTGTTTTCTATTGCTACTTTTTGAGACACAATAGTATTCTTATTTATCAAATATAGTTAATTCTAGAATTCTGACATTATTGTTCAAAGGTTCAACTGATGGAACGGTGCGTGTTTGGGAGGTTGAGACAGGTCGTTGCCTCAGAGTCTGGAATGTGGGTGAAGCTGTTGAACACGTTGCATGGAATCCTTTGCCTGAGCTTCCCATGTTAGCAGTTTCTGCGTAAGCTAGCTTTCCAAACAGTTTTTTGACGAATCCTTTGCCTGAGCTTCCCATGTTAGCAGTTTCTGCGTAAGCTAGCTTTCCAAACAGTTTTTTGACAGTTTTTGTGTAATTAGCTTTTGAGTGTTTCACGATGTTAAATATTTCTTAATTTTTGTCTGATCTTACTTTGAAGGGGGTATGACGTGATTCTGCTGAACACTGGACTTGGATTTGAGAAGACAATATGTGGATAAAAGAGCTCCTACGTGTTGAGGAATCGCCATTAACTAATGACGACGGTAGTTTTTTTTATTATTTTACCTTTGTGTACTTTTATTTTTTCCAATTATTTTTTATCACATTAAATATATTTCACAGGAAATAAAACCTCTGCTGTGAGTTGGCTCCAACATACCAAGCTTGATGGCATCAGGTTGCAACACTTTAAGGTAACATGTTACGTCTTCATTTGCATTCTCTAAAATATTGCATTGTTTGCTTATTTCTTCTTGGGTTTGCCATTAATTCTATATCACTCTCCAACTTATGCTACTTCTTTCTATGCAGGCTGTATCAACAATTGAGTGGCATCGCAAAGGAGACTATTTCACTACAGTTGTTCCAAGTAATATCCTAGAGATAATATTTGATTTTGCTTCCAATATTAAACTCTTTCAACACTGATCTTTTTTTCTTGAATTTTCGCATAATTATCATTACTCAATATTTTAAGTGGCTCCTGCCTTTGCGTCTTATGAAAGCCCTAAGCTCTTTTGAGTAGGATGTGGTTTCATTCTTCTAAAACCATATAATATAATATTTAAAACCAGTTGAAATTAGAAGCATATAAAAATTAGTAATATATATCATACACAACAAAACGAATTAGTAAACTGGTCAGAAAAATTTTGCTATTGCAGAAGACTGTGTGAGGAAATTAACACCGGTAATATGTTGCTATGTTGTAGACATTAGCATTATTTATTTCATGAGTAATGTAAGATGGATGTAGCACTTGCGATGTCTTGTTTTAATTTTTATGAGTGAATATAATATCTAAAGTAACCTTGGCATCATGCCAAGACTTTATTCTTAATATATTGCATAAGACTTAACTGTTCATCTATGAAACAACATAACGCTAAAAATGATTGGAACAAGAGTTAGTCCACTTAATACTGATGAAACAGCTTTGCCCTTAAGTTCCTGGTATTACTATTCACCATCTGAAATAAATAGCGAGTACGCCTAGTAATCTACTAGAACATGTTTATTTTTATATAGAGCTATTTTGTTGGACTTACAGAAAACTGGTACTAATTTTTCTGGTACTTATGAGGTAAAGATTCATTGTTTGAATCATATTTGGAGCGTGCAGTCTGTTTATTCTTTCATATTCAGTATATTACTGATCGACATCTCAAGTGTGAGCCTTGACCTATAATGCACGTGATTCTAGAGCAATATTATTACATCAACTCTCCAAGAAGCATAGCCAAAATTCTATCAAGAAGTTACATGGGTTTCCGGTTTCATCCGTCTTCAATCAGTGCGTCCCATTTTCTTTGTTGCAACTAAGAAAAATATTTGTGTTTATGATCTTCTGAAAGCAAAGCTCATTAAGAAGCTTGAAACAAAGCTTCGGGAGATTTCATCCATTGCTATCCATCCTGGGGGTAAAGTGTTATTTATTATGCTCAAAATATATTGAACTGCAAAGTTACCCAAGTAATTCAGGCAAGATCATGGCAGTTGTCTCATTTTTAATCTCATAATAATGGTCATTCACAAAAAAAAGATCTTGCTTACAGGTGACAATGTAATTGTGGGGAGCAAGGAAGGAAAATGTGCTGGTTTGATATGGACCTTTCATCTCAACCATACAAAACTCTGAAGTATGTCAATAGATCCTGTTCTAACTTTTAGTTATTTTCACAAAATTTTGGCCGCCTCTCCCAATTTATTCCCTATCATTCAAAGGCTAGGTATTCCTCCACTGAGAGTTGAACTTGGGATCTTCAACATTGAACCTTCTGAATTGACAAGAGGTGCCGGGCGATGGTCCTCTTGCTTTTGGGATCTTCTTTTGTTAGCTCAGTTCTTTAATGAACATATTATCAATATCATATTTACCAACCTAGAATCTTACTGTTTGTAGTTTGTAATCATGATTCCTTTTTATTTAGATTATATCATATTTACCAATCTAGAATATTACTGTTTGTAGTTTGTAATCATGATTCCTTTTTATTTAGATTTGTTTGGGTACCAACATATGCTTGTGCATTCATATGCCAAAAATCATTTCAAGGTTGCATTTTGGTGGTACCTACTCTATATATTAAGTGCTGCGATATTTATACCCTTAGTAAGTGCACATAAATACCTTTAAGTATGCATCTGCCATGTCTAGGCCTACACTTACTGTTTTTATATAACGCCATGTTTGATATGTGAGAATTGAGTGGAGTGAGAATGAAACGAAACAGGGAATAAAATGGAATTAATGTGGAAATGGAATGCTCATTTCCATTTCCATGTTTGAGTGCAGTTAGAGAATGACGTGGGAATGAGCATATTGCGAATTTTTTTTATTCCCACTTAAGTGCAATGTCTGTTCCCTAACACATTGGGAATGGCCATTCCCACATAAAGCAGGAATTGATGAGAAGTGGAATGAGGTTTCTAGCTTCCAGAAACACTTCATGTTTGGTACGCATGAATCAGAAGTGGGAATTGACATTGCATTCCCACTCATTCCCGCGTACCACGTGAGGTGTAAGACTTCCAATACTTCATGGTCTACTCTAAAAGTTTTTGAAGGATTCATGATTAAGAGAGAACATTCTATATAATCAAGTGCTAATTTTTTTAGTGGCATTAATGATCATTTTTCTTTTGTTAAAATATCTCTAGGACACATCCAAAGGACAACGAATGTTGCCTTCCATCGATCATACCCTCTATTCACTTCTTGTTCCGATGACTGTACGGCATATGTATTTCATGGAATGGTGTACTCAGATCTTAACCAGGATCCTCTCATTGTTCCTTTGGAGATTCTCTGTGGCCATACATCCTCAAACGGCAGAGGTAACTACACAACTGTTATCTTTTTTAATGTATTATGTGTTTCATTTATTAACATTGATGTTGGTTTTAGATTTGCATTAAGAGCATATTATGTCATAGAAGCCTGTCTGAGTGAGCTTGTTTTGCTTATTTTAGAACATCAAAGTCTCAGGTAACTATCAGTACGATGTTCCTTAAGGCCAGGCTCCAGCAAGAGAGTGTAGGAGTAGGCTATCTATGTGATTGTCGGGAATCTGCTATGATCCTTTCTAAGCTAAACCAGTATTGAATCAGGTCCTGCTTCATTGCACGGAAGCATCATGGATTTGTCTTCCTTCTCCAGTTGGAAAATTTTCTCCCCCTTCATTAAAAAAGTAAGAAAGATGGGTCCCCCTAAATCTCATCTATTTTGATATAAGTCCCCCAAATGATCATATTTTGAAATTAGCCCCTCTAAACCTTTAAGTTGTCTCAAATTAGGCCCCATGTTTCCTTTTATTTAACCCCAATCCAAGTAATATCTGTTATAGTTTGTGTTTTCCCTTTTACCCTCGTCTTCAACCCAGCCTCTTCAAGCCAATTGTCTCTTTTAAACCCATGTAAAATTAACATCTTTTTCTCTATTATAGCAAATGAAAATGGTCCTCCTAAGGTTGAAGGTTTTCGTCTGAACATACATCGTAACTGAGATTTGAAGCTAGAGATCTCATGGTCTTTGTATCTCCATAAATATTATCATCTCTGTTCTCCGTCCCCCATAGTGCAAACCTTTGAGCACAACATACATGAAATAGTGTACAGAGACTTAAATGAACCTCATGAGTTATGCACCCAACATGACAACAAAGAAACTTTTATTATTGCTGTGCAGCAACAGTAATTGCAGGCAACATCAGATGTTGCTTACTCTTGTTATGTCCAAAATCTCATTTCTCCAATGTAAGAAATAATCACTTGCATTATCGAATGACGTCCTTCATTGAAGTGGTAAATTAATTGTTGATGAACATATGTACAGTTGATTCAAAGAGGTGTTTTTGGTGGCGGTTTGTTTTTTTTTTCCGTTAGCAACATCCAATACGTAATTCACCTGAGTTAAGGTCTAACAATTTAGAGTCATAGACTAGCATGCACTGATTTGAGACAACCTAAGTGTTTTGAGAGGATTTATTTCAAAATAGGAAGACTTTGGGAATTTCGTATCAAGAATGGATTTGAGATTTGGGGGACCAATATCTGAGAGACTCCTTTTTTTCTCCCAGGATTATGACTCAATAAAATTAGGTTTAACAATCTTCTGATTACCAACTCCATGGATTTAAAATGAAATGTTTATATCTCCTGTGTAGATTTGCCATGCTCAAGGAGATTTATATTAATTAAATCATTAAATGTCTCCTCGGAAAAAATAAAGTAGTGTGTCAGAGCTTTCCAAAGGTTATGGAAGAATGCCAGGTGCAAATGCTGAACTTCGCATAATGTGGGATTCAATTTGAACACACTATAGAACATTTAATGCTCTAATGAAAGAATAAGACATAAATCATCCAATTTGAGGCAGTGGCATATAATATGCTCTCAGTATCCTTATATTCAAAGAAACTGAATTCAGGGAAGTGAATCGACACTGATGTTTTTCCCCCTTTTGTAAGAAAAGTTAATATGAAGGATGGAAAAAGAAAAGAGATATTCTATCAGTTTCTCTGAAGTTCATGTTATCCTATATATGCAGGTGTGTTGGATTACAAGTTCCATCCAAGGCAGCCATGGTTGTTCACTGTTGGTGCTGACTCTGTTATCAAGCTTTACTGCCACTAAGACATCGCGAAATAGTCAGTTATTATGCCAGAGTTCATATCTCAGCAAGGCAACCAAAGGAATGCCATTGATTGTAGTGGGAGACGACCTAACCTCAAAAAAATGTTTTTAACAATTGCACTTCATTTGAGTTTTGATCGACATGGCAGTTGTATTCGGTTGATTTCAGTTCAAGTCCATTGATTTGAACACACAGGCAGGCTAGTAAATCTGACTTGTACATGCTCTATCGTATGCATCTTTGAAACAGACAGAAGCAAGTAGCTTTAAAGTTATTTATACTACTTGACAAGCATGAGTAACTTCAAAGCTTAGAATTTTGTATCAGGTAGATGGTTAAAATTATTTTATGGACGTTTTGTGCAAATTTTGTAATATATGGAGTTCTTAGGTATATTCTTTCCAGAAAAGTTGCAACATTTGAGGTGATATTTTAAGACAAACGGTAATGGCAAAAAAACTGTCATCAGAATTTATCTTTACGCGTCTGGCAACGATAGTGATCCAACAGTAGAAAAAATATTCTCATTTGTGTTATGGTTTTCCTGGTCAGAATTTGGAACCACTTGTGTATGGTTTGATGCCTGCTTGATACTTTTCGAGAGTACACTTCCCCTACTGATATACGTCATATATTTAGCATTATGGGTATAAAGCCCATCTGATTCTTGTTTAGTTATAAGAGCTGGCTTACAGCCGAGTCCACTCTTACCAAACACGCAAACTATAAAAGTTGGTTGGGAATAAATTAACATTATTAAGACTTTCTAAAATGCTTATGCAGATGAACCTTACTTTGGAAAATATTCTTTAAATATTGTATTGGCTGACTAATCATGAGTACTTACACAAATAGGGATAAATATGGATGTGCCTTCGGACAAGAAATACCCATATCTATATCTATATATAATTTGAAGACGAATACCAATAAAATAAAAGAAACGTTTATGGATATGGGGGAAAACACCAATAAGATTGAAAAAAGTGTATCTACTTTTTTTTTTATAACTAAAGGAAAATCCTAAGGTGAACAGTAAACTTTCTCAATTTCCATGTATTTTGCTTTCAATCCTAAGGAATAACCTGTATTACTTGACTAGAGGTATAGTGGCAGATGGAGAGCTGACGACTTCTATTGATTCGACTAGACTGCGGCAGTTGGGGCTTGGCCATTCCAGTAATGATTCCTCACATAGATTGAAAGAGGGTGTGAAGACCTGTAGTTTGAAGTCCAGTGAACATGTTGATGTGAGCAAGAAGACCGAGGTGAAGTATGACACCTCTATTCACCGTGCTAAGGGTCGTTCTGGAGGAGTTCACGTGGATGTTTGGGGGCCTTCTAAGGGGGCATCATTGGGAGGTAATAGGCATTTGGTTTTCTTTGTTGGTGACTGTTCTAGGCGTGTTTAGGTTGCAATCAAATCCCCATTGGAGAAAGTCCTAGTAGTCTCTAACAGGTTGAAGAAGTGTAAGATGGACAGAAAGGTGAAGGTACTTCATTCTGATTTTGGTGGGAGGTACAAGATGGACCTATTTCTGTATTGGAGCCGAGCTCACGGCATTTCGAGACGCTTCGTTGGAAAGGAAATCTTGGGGCAACTTGATAGGGTGGCAAATTTGGAGAACCGTGCCTTGCTGGAGGAGGATCGGTGTTTGTTGTCAAGCAATGGTCTGCAGAAGAGTTTCTGAACTGAGGCATCGACATACTCGAGCCATCTTACTAAAGAGTTGTCAACTGCTGTGATAGGAGGTAAAACTCAATTGGGTGTTTGGTATGGTAGTGTCACTTTGGTTGAGGCTTCGATGAGGGAGCTAATTGACTCTCAACAGGTGAAGAGTTTTGGACATACCTTAGTTGTATCGCAGCAGGTGGAGATTGATGCTACTCCACATTGGGTGAGGATTTTTCCACATACTCCAGGTCATTCTGCATTGGTTGGGATTCCAGCTGAGGTGACACAGCGTGTGAGTCATTTGGAGTCGGATGCAGATGATGAGTTGATAGATTCGAATGTAGCTGGTAGACGTAGTTTGAATATAGCCATTGGTTCACCTCAGATGGAGGTGTTTGAGGCCATTGGAGGTGCTATCAGCCGTAGAGTTGATGATATTGGAGAAGGGTTGCGAACTCTTCTAGTGGATTGAGGCCTTTGGAGGCTATTTAGGTGAACTACGTTTGGCTTGATTCCTTGGGCAAGAGGATACGTAGGCAGTCTTTATGATGCAGCCGGGTTGGATTTTGATGGGGGTGAGACCGATTTGGTGAGTAGACACTGTTGTTTTGGGTGAGTGTTCGCACTCCTGCTTGGGTCTCGACTTGTTGTGGATTGAGTCTGTTATTGTGAAGGGTTTCCACGACGTCCTGGACACAACAAGTGGGACATTTGGTTTGGTTGGTGTCGGCTCAGTTTTAGGAAAATTTTACCAAGGTGGAGAATTGTGAGCGGACGTGGGGGCCCACACGATATCCTTTTCGCATGAGGTAGCCGCTCTTTTGTGAAGTTGGTTTTTCGTTTTCGTGTAGTGGGCCATACCCACGTTCAGCCGCGTGAGGAGTTTGTGAACGCGTCTCATGATAGACGCGTTGGAAACATACAGGACAGAATTGTGATGTGAGGAGATAAGGACGTGGACGTGTGTGGTTTTCTCCCGAACGGTTTTTGATACCGCAACTATATATATATCTCTTTCGAAGGCTTCCTACGGTGTGCATGTGAGTAGGCAGAGGGGAGAAAGAATCTAGGCGGCTGTCTCTTAGCTTCGTGCGGCTACGGAGAAAAAGCAAAGCAGAAAAGGCAGCTTGCAAAAAGTGAGTTTTGGGCGGCGTGCTGTTCTGGCGGCTGTTTCTTTTGAGAGAAAAAAACAGAGAGATATTTGTGTGAGAGAGAGATTGTTTGAGGGTTTAGATTGAGTGATTGTAAACCCTAGTTATATTATCTCCCCTCTAATAGTAGATCCCCCATCCTTGCCCCGTGGACGTAGGCAGTTTGCCGAACCACGTAAAATTGGTTTGTTTGTGTTTGTGGCCATTATTGTTGGCCTTTTTGTTTTGATGATGTTTAACAAATAATTTACTACTAATGTTGTTTGTCTAGTACTTGTGTTTTTTTATTTATTATAGACAAACAACGTTGTTGGAGGATGGATGGAATAGAGCTTCAACGATCATATCCAAAGGAGGTTGGCGGAATGTCGGTGAAGCTTATGCAATTCAAGTTAAAGATCGAGTTCAAGCTTCATCCGCGAGATTACCAAGTCAAGCTTATTGAAGATCAAGCAAGCTTGGGTAATTTAGTTTAGGATTTATATTATGTGTGTTAAGTACGTTAAGCTCAATATCTATACACACACATTTTTCTTCAAGTCTATAAAATCATTTTGTAAAGTTTCAAAAGTTGGTTTAGCCAAAATGTCAAAATTCACATGTTTACATTTTCGTGTTTTGGACTATCTTGCAAAATGATGATATTTTTCTTTTGGGAAGTCCTTTTTCGAAACCAGTCATTGTAGCATGTTTATTATCATGTCTATAATCATTCCCCAAAGTTTTATATTTTTTAGAATTTATTTGATATTTTTAAACAGCATTTTAAAATCAGCAAAACTGTTTTTTTTAATATGTCAGTTTTCGGTCGACCGAACCGGTCGACCGAACCTGAGTTTTCGTGTTCACTGGGCGACAGAGAGTTCGTCGGTCGACCGCCGCGGTCGACCGAGAGCTCCCTTCGGTCGACCGGTGCAAGATAGTCCAAAACACAAAAATATAAACATGTGAATTTTGACATTTTGGCTAAACCAACTTTTGAAACTTTACAAAATGATTTTATAGACTTGAAGAAAGATGTAAAGTATTGTTATGAAGTCTATAAACAATGAATGTAGTATTTTATCAAAATACACATATAATGCACTAAAGCATGATTTCATTTAACTAACTAAAATTGATATTGATGAAATCATATATATGCATATGAGTATGAAACAAAAAATATGTTTTCTAATTATATTCAATTGTTTCATAGTAAAACTTAAAAACTATCAAACCAAAACATATATGTATATATATAACTATATATATACAAAAACCAAAACGTGTATGTGTGTATATGATTGAGCTTAAAGTACTAACACACATAATATAAATTCCTAAACTAAATTACCCAAGCAATGATCTTGATCTTCAATAAGCTTGACTTGGTAATCTCGCGAATGAAGCTTGAACTCGATCTTTAACTTGAATTGCATAAGCTTCACCGACATTCCGTCAACCTCCTTTGGATATGATCGTTGAAACTCTATTCCATCCATCCTCCAACAACGTTGTTTGTCTATAATAAATAAGAAAACATAAGTACTAGACAAACAACATTAGTGGTAAATTGTTTGTTAAACATCATCAAAACAAAAAGGCCAACAATCTCCCCCTTTTTGATGATGACAAACAATTTAGAAAAGGAAATATATGCATGAAGGAAATGAACATATAAAAAATAATTCACATGCATATAAACAGGAAATGTATACTCACAATATTTCTCCCCCTTTGACAACATCAAAAAGGGAACAAATGAATGAAGAGAGCGAAAGCTCCCCCTATCAATAAGCATGGGTGAGTATAAAAACAAGTATAGGGAATGCTCCCCCTATCAAAAAGCCATATAGAATATAGACAAAGAAAGATCATGGCAAATATGTGAGCAAGCATAAATGAAAAGATATGCTAAGCATCACTCACATACAAACAAGATACAATGAGGACACATAATGATATGACATTATAAAGATAGTGTCTCATTATAAAAACCATGTATAAGAATAGATTTATGAAATCAAAAGAAGAGGAACATGAGAAACATGCAAAAAAGTTTTCAAATGAAAACAAATCCATCAAAAGAAATCATAAATCAAAGTTTATATCCAAAAACGATGTTTGATCAATGAAGAACTTGATCAAACCACTCATAGAATACATTATAAACCACGAATAGATGATCCATAAACACAAACACATAAATATCATCATATAAGTGAAGTATAATGAATTCAAAGCAATCAATCAAAACAAAATCTCTAACAAAAGAATTTTAAAAGATATCAAGCTCTTAAGCTTGTTACAACCCATATAATCATTCTAGCATCCGGTAAACATGATTTGGGAATAAACACCCAATAAATCCGGAGGGTTATATAAATGCAAACCTCTCATCAAAACGAAACTAATAATCATGAAAACAAAATAATTTGATCAATGAAAAAAAAATATTGTTTTCATGTTCAAAAGTTTAAAGTATAATTTTTCAAAACCAAGAAAAAAAAAATAAAACATTAAAATTCTTGGTTTAAAATCAAAATTATTTTGGTACCCAATTAATATTGGTACCAAAAGGTTTAGGGACATGACCCCTATCATTAAAGCTCAAAGCCCTTGGGTTATGAACCCATTTGGGCGCATTTAGTGCACGAGTCCGGTCAT